CATATTTATACATGGCTATCATATCTCCTCTCAGCCTTCTCTTCTTCAGGCTAAACATGCCCGGCTCCTTAAGCCGCTCCTCATAGGGCTTGTTCTCCAGACCCTTGATCATTTAGTCGCCCTCCTCTGGACACATTCCAGCTTGTCAATATCTCTCTTGAATTGTGGTGCCCAGAATTGGACACAATATTCCAGGTGTGGTCTAACAAAAGAATAGAGGGGTAGCATTACTTCCCTAGATCTAGACACTATGCTCCTATTGATGCAGGCCAAAATCCCATTGGCTTTTTTTGCCGCCACATCACATTGTTGGCTCATGTTTAACTTGTTGTCCACGAGGACTCCAAGATCCTTTTCACACGTACTGCTCTCAAGCCAGGCACCCCCCATTCTGTATCTTTGCATTTCTTTTTTCCTGCCAAAGTCGGTTCTTTCATTTCAGGGACTGAAAATTAGACCATTATGGGGGTGGGGGCTTCCCACCCACTGGCTCCCCTTCCCCATGTGTTTTCTTCTTACCTGGCACCAGCTGTTTCTACTCTAGAATAAGAGGTGCTTGGCTATAGGCACTGGAAGGAGCGCATGCTTTCTGAACTTGCCTGCATGCCCCGCCTCATATGCACTCTCCATGGAAAGAGAATGCTTTTGTGGCGGGGCATGCAGGCAGACCCAGAAAGCGCATGCGCCTGCCAGTGCCTGCAGCTGAGTGCCTCTTACTCTAGAATAAGAGGTGCTCAGCTACTGGTGTGCTGCGGGCATTCCTGCATGCCCTGCCACACACACCCCGTGACACTCTCTGAGAGTATGTGTGTGGTGGGGTGTGCAGGCAGCCCTGGAGTGCACCTGCAGCCAAGCTCCTGGCCTGCCTGCCTCTTCAGACATGCACTCTCTTTCCAAGGCAAGGAGACAATTTCAAATGCACATGAAAGCAGGCTTTCCTGTTGAGCAGATTTTCATGTGGGGAAGGGGCTTCCCGTTTCGTGCTTCCAAAAAAACGGAAGCCACGAAAGAAACGGTAGGAACGGTAGGAACAAATTTTGCACACATACGAGGGGTATTTTTAAAGTAAGGTCCGTTTGAACATAAGTACACAGTGAAAGTTTATTTCAAAAAAGTAAATTGATTTTCAGAAAGTACATACTTCACTCTATTTTTCAACAAAGTTGCCAAGTTTGTTCAAACACTTATCATACCTCTGAACCAATTTTAAAATGCCCTCTTCATAAACTTGCCGCCTGCTCCGATAACCAAGAGTTCACTGTAATCAAAGAAGGGCGACAGGAGCGGTCCTCATCATGGACGTTGTCACGGCCATCTTTGAATTGTCGTACCCACTTACGCACTTTGCTTTCACTCATAACAGTATCACCGTACATGTCACAAATCTGTTGATGAATTTCTGCAGCAGGCAGGTTCCTTGCTGACAAAAACCATATCACTGAGTGAACCTCACATGCGGAGGGTGAGTTGATAGTCTTAAACATTTTTAAAGCACAGAACAGAACCGTACAGGTTAGCTACAGAGCGGAAACTGAGCACAGTTGTTCCCGAGGCATGTCGGTACACGACGCACACACTCATTGCGGTGTGCGTGCGAACTACTAGTGTCTACAACAAAATGGACCTTACTTAAAAAATACTCCTCGTATTTAGTAATCTTCTTGGCAAGATTTATCCAGTGATGGTCTGCCATTGCCTTCATGAATTTTGCTTTATCCAAGGACATCCATTGCGGTGTGCATTATTGTTGTACTGTTGTAGTTGAATTTGTTGGGTTTGACCTCATGTAAGCTGCCCCAAGTCCCCTCAGGGAGATGGTGGTGGGGTATAAATAAATTATTATTATTATTATTATTATTATTATTATTATTATTTCCATGGCTTTGTAGGAATTTGATCCACAGGTCTCCTAGGTTCCTACCTAGTCCATTCCTGAAATATTTACTCAAGACCAGCTTTTATCAAAAATCTTCACTTAATGATATCTTTCCCCTTCTTGCTTTGACTCACAGACATTCATATTTGCCTTTTACAACATCCCAAAAACTAAATTTGAATGATGACATAATATTAATGACCTTATCTCCTTTACTTCATGACTGACTGCATGACTGGGTGGAATTATTCACATGATGTAATGCAGGCAGCAACGACAGAGAAAGAAGATGTCAATGCTCCAAAGTAGAGGGAATGGATATACTCAGATTCGTCCAGAATCAAGTATTTGTGGTCAAGACATAGAAATAGAAGAATATTAAGAATAAATGTAGTTGGTCTACTTTATTTTAGCAGACCAAATAAGCAATCAGTCAAAATTGTAATATTGTGAGAGCATTCAATGGTAGTTTAAGAGGAGCAAGACCGGAATTTAATTGGGAATGGCAGTGGACCTTGGAGAATGATGTTCTCCAAGTAGCGATAACTGAATGCATATCAGTGGGAATGCTTGCGTGGACATATACCCACTGTCTCTTGGCAAGGGGAGACACCAGTGTTCCAGTTTAGATATATGTAGAGTTAATTAGGAAAGAATTCTTCAATATGAGCAATTAGTACTTATCTTGGTGCTGTCACTTCTTGATCTATTTTAAGAAGCCCTCACTCTTGAACAATGACTGTTTCACCTTGGGGTTGCCATCTAGCAGGGGGTATCTTTTTTGGCCAATTAAATACTGATATTTTATATATCATTGCTGGTCCCTGCTTCATATTTCACCTAGCTGTAAGATAGACAGATACTTAGTTTTCTGTAAAACAGTCTTAATTAAATTGTACCATCTTTTAGAAATGGTTGGGGGAAATAGGACACTGAAGAACTAATTGGAGAAGGTTGTCCATAGGTAGAGGAGGTGGTCTACCTTCCAAATTCTTCTCATTGTGGAAACAGCTACATTGACGAGTATCGTCTTTTGTGAGTGAAGAGAGGCAAGAGATGGAGTGACTTTGGGTTCTTTGGATTCAAAGCCCTCCAATTCCTCCGATATAGCTCTGGCAAGAGAAGGAATATAACTCTGGTGGAGCAACCATATTTGTTCCTCCAGCCATTTTATGACCTGCTTGATGCTTCCGTCACTTCATTCCTCTGATATTTGTGTTAAATAAGCCCGTGGTCCCTGAGTAGATCCATGCTGAGAGTACGGAAATGCAAACTGAAAAAAAAAATCCAGCTGTATGCATTTGGAAAGCAAGAGCTGGGTAAAGGATGTTCTGATTTATAGTTCAGCCTCTCTTATCCATTTTGCTACCTGATAATGTCAGCTTTCATGGTTCTCCTGCCTCTCGGCTATTAAATACCAGCGGTCTAATATCAAATACTGAAATCAAATATCAGCGAATGTCACTTGCTGGTAGTTATCAGATTCCCTACAAATACTTGGGAAAATGATCCCGTATTCAGAGAATATCTCAAGGACAATGGACATCTACATTTGGAGACTGATGTCTCCAAATATGGTGATGCTCTTCTTGGCTCCAAAAAAACCCAGTAGTGCACATTTTCAGAGCCTTTTTTATGGTGGCACACCATATTTTGAATTCTTCCCTATTCTATTATTATTATTATTATTATTATTATTATTATTATTATTATTAAAAACACAGCAAGATAAGTCCACAGCAGACAAGATCACTCTGCTGGCTGTTGTATTGGATCAAGTATCAGATTATTATTATTATTATTATTAGAAACTCAGGAAGATGAGTCCACATCAGACAAGATCACTGCTGGATGTTGTATTGGATCAAGTGTCAGATTATTATTATTATTATTATTATTATTATTATTATTATTATTATTATTATTAGAAACACAGCAAGATGAGTCCACAGCAGACAAGATCACTCTGCTGGCTGTTGTATTGGATCAAGTGTCAGATGATAATAATAATAATAATAATAATTATTATTATTATTATTTTCTATCTCGCTTTTCTCCTGAGTCGGGGCTCAAAGTGGCAAACAACATGTATAAAGTAGAAAAACATTACAGTTAAAATGAAGAACATCATCATCATCATCATATCTAATAAAAGGTATATATATATATATATATATATATATATATATATATATATATATCTTCAACATCAATGTAATTGACAACTAGCACAAACATAGTTAAACAATAGATTAAGACCCCATCTAAAATCAATTCATTTAGGCCATAGTCAGGTCACTTAACAGACACCGAGGTATAAGACTTAACATCAATCTGATTTACATGAGAATTCTATTAATAGCAATGATTCTTCTGGGTTTTATGCATAATATGCATGTTCTATTTTATCTCCCAACAGATTGAGAAAAGATAGCTAGAATTCACCGTGACATTTACATATGCATAACCTAAAGTTATCCATCTGTAACTGATTCATATGCATCGTCCTTATGTATTTATCACTGTGGCACTATTCCATGTATAGGGGGAGTGCTATGTCCGGAATAACAACACAAGGCATCAGTTCTTTGGGCTAACAAGGCCACAACTTGTATTGGTTATGGGTGATGACTGGATTAGCAACTGCACTTGGGTCCTGGATCTCAGCATTGACCTGGATGCCTGCTGGTCAATGAGCATTCTGCTCTAGGCTTAAGTTGTAGGCCTGGATACTGGTAGAGGGTTCTACTAGTATGTTATCATTGCCTCTACTCCAGTTCCCATGACGGTAAGAAGGGTGTGCTGCTGAGGAGTCCATCCATGATCTATCTGGACTGGACAGTTGATAACCACCCTCTCTTGTTATTTCTGCCCCAAGAGAGAAGGGCACCGAGCATGAGATTCCAGATCCAGGACCCATGACAACCACCCCTGAAGCTGTGGCAATAACAAGTATGCTGCAAGGGAACAACACTGAGCAAAGAAGGGTGGGATGCTTCCAGCAAGGCAACCGAGAAGCAAGGACTAGGAAGCCTCCTATGTATGCTAGATCAATGGACCTGAGGGACCTCCAAGTCTGAATGTAATTAGCTGCCTTTTTTCGCTCCTCCCTCCATGAATACAGGGTGTGCGCTGAGGAGGAAGATCCATGATGGGGATTGAAAATGGAAGCTGGACATGCCTGCCCAAGCTACAATTGCCTCGCATGGTAAGTCAAGCAGAACATTTGCCATAATTGTCAAAGTCCCCCAATCTTGCATTAAGGAGCAGCAGTTGCTGCAAGTGACAAGTAGTTTGTTCACCTATCACTCCGGTCAGAGTATATTGATATATCTCTGGTGCAAGAATGAATTCCAACATGAATCCTACTTCTGACTGTTACATTGGAAACATGGGTGGAAACATTCTGATTGACATCCTGATTGACAGGAGAACAGACCTCCAGCTCTTGCAGCAGCAGCTGCTTCCACAGAAAGCAAAATAAGGGTCAGGAGCTGCTACTTCATTACGTAGTTGATCTAGGATCTTGGTCATTATTAAATCACTATAAATTAAAATGCTGGTTGTAATCAACACTGCCTGAGCTCTGCGAGTGTAGCATTTTTCCGAATGAAGCAGAGAGTGTTTGAGGACTGGGACATCCGTAGGGATACCAAGGTGCTTGTTTATAAAGCTATTGTCCTCCCAACCCTGCTCTATGCCTGCGCAAAATGGACGATCTACAGAAGTCACATGCAACTCCTGGAATGACTCCATCAGCTCTGCCTCCAAAAAATCCTGCAAATCTCTTGGGAAGACAAGCGGACAAATGTCAGCGTGCTGGAAGAAGCAAAGACCACCAGCACTGAAGTGATGGTCCTCCGCCATCAACTCCACTGGACTGGCCATTATGTCCGGATGCCCGACCACCATCTCCCAAAGCAGTTGCTCTATTCTGAACTCAAGAATGAAAAATGAAATGGTGGACAGGAATTTATTTATTATTTATTTATTTAAAAGTTTTGTATACCGACCTTCTCACCTCTCTTGAGGGACTCAGAACGGTTTCCAACCAGAATATCATATACAATCAATAAAACATCATAATACATATTACAGTAAAACATTAAAACAGCAATTACAATCAATGACTATGATGGTCAGTCGTCACACTAAAATCGTTGTTCATCATCCTCCATCCAGAGATTTAAAGATGGGCTCACAGCCAACCTTAAAAACTCTGTCATAGACACTGAGAACTGGGAAGCCCTGGCCCTTGAGCGCTCCAGTTGGAGGTCAGCTGTGACCAGCAGTGCTTTAGAATTTGAAGAGGCACGAATGTAGGATGAGAGAAAGAAATGTAACAAGAGGAAGGTGCGTCAAGCCAACCCCGACCAGGACCGCCTTCCACCTGAAAGCTGATGCCCTCACTGTGGGAGAAGATGCAGATCAAGAATAGGGCTCCACAGTCACCTATGGACCACACTTTGAGGACCATCATCCTCAGACTATGAGGGATCGCCTAAGTAATCTGTTTTGAGCATTTCCATAACCGGAAAATATACTTTTTAAATGAAAAAATACACAACAACTGTAGATTTGGGAAATCTGTGATTCTTCAGACATCTGGGCCTTCCAACTTCCTGTCAATGCAGACAGCATCATTGATATGGATTATATGGTGGCTTAAGACTCTCCCCACCATAGCCCTATGATGAACTTGAGGTTAATACTGTCATGACGCTCATTCTGCTACTTTTTGGCAGAGTGTTACTTCTGAAACATTCAGATTCTCTTTCCCTTGTCATTCATAATGATAAAATATCTGGCACAGTAAACAAGAACTGCTTTCAAAGTTCAAGTCACCAAGATGAGATGGGTGTGTGTGCCCAATTTAAGGCTCTGAGCCCAGATCATTTGAGACAGCATGCAACCACCCAGCTGTAATATATCTCTCCCTGACTCAGCTGTCTACGGCCCACTCAGCATCATAATCATGTAAATTAAATACAAATTTTAAAAATTGTCCCCATTAAAATGATCTATTAATGTTGGAAGACTCCGGCACTTATGGGGAATGACTGTAATTGTGTGATCTTGCCATTGGCACATCTTAAAAGACCTGGCAGATCTTGAAGATATTTACACCTCTGGGATTAATTTTATTGTAAGGAATTAACTTTTGGCAAAGCACTGTTACTACTACCATTAGTAAGGCAGCGGCATGGGAGGGGGGTGTGGGGTAGAGGGAAGCTGCTGCTAACAGCTGCTTTTTAAATTATGATATTGCTGGAGAAACAATTGGAATGGAATAGATTGCCAAATCCACAAAGTAGGAACCTCTTCCTTTTCTCATCCTTACATACTTTCCTTGGGGGAAAAATAGAGATGAATTCTTCACTAAGTTTCTTATGAAAGATAGTGATGAGTCATCTGAGCAATTTTTTCCTGCCATAAGAAAGTTTTGAGTACATCTACATTGTAGAATTAATGCATTTTGGCACCACTTTAAGTGCCATGACTCAATGCTATGGGAGTCTGGGTTTGGTAGTTTGGTGAGGCATCAGAGAGAAAGCTAAGGACCTTATAAAACTACAACTCCCGTGATTCCATAACATTGAGCCACAACATTTGTTTGTTTGTTTTACAATATTTACATTCCACCCTTCTCACCCCGCAGGGGACTCAGGGCGTATTACAATGTACATATACATGGCAAACATTCAATGTCATAGACACACAACATATATAGAGAGACACACAGAGGCTATTTAACATTCCAGCTTTTTCATGAGGATATTCTGGCCACTAGGGGAGCTGTCGCTTCACCGTCCACTTGAGACACTGATGGAGTACTTCCTCATTCTTTTGCGCGCTGCTGGAGATTTTTATGGTGTCGTAAATTGGTTATTTAGTTTATTTACTTTATTTGTATACCGCTCCTCTCAGCCTTCCAAGGGAGCTGTCACTTCACCATCCATTTGTGACACTGATGAAGTACTTCCTCATTCTTTGCATGCTTGCTGGAGATTTTTATGGCGTCGTAAATTAGCCTCCCCACATAAGCGGTATCTGAATTTCCTGCTTGACAGCTGCAACTGTCTTTAGGACTGCAAAGGTCGACAGCAAGCTACACTCCGACCCGGGCTGGCTTTGAACTCATGATCTTTTGGTCAGTAGTGATCTTAATGCAGCTGACTTCCAGCCAGCTACACCACAGTCCCAGTGCCATCATTTTACTGCGTAGATGCACCCCTTGAAAGCCACTCTGCTTTAGAATGAAATTCACAATTCCAGACTTTTTCTGCAGAAATTTCACACGTAGTTATTTTGCACAGGAAATAGCATTTCAATATTTCAATTAGCATGTCTTGCATGGAAAATAATGTGCAATGTTACGGGGAAGCATCCATATTTATTTCATTAGCCATATTAATGCCGTACTTGGTTTATTTCTTTGTGTGAAACAATCCTGCAGCATACAAGATGTTTCAGTTCAGTCTCCAGTTTCCTTCCCATCACATTGGCCATTGACCATGCTGCTGAGATTATTGAGCCATTGAAGTCCAATAGTAGGCTTGTTTGATCCAAAAAAAAAAAAAGGTTCAAAACTTGCTTTGGATGTAGGGAGCACTGGTGGTTCGATTCGGAAGTCAATTCTGATTTTCACAGAAAAAAATGTTCAAAACTTTTCAAAACTTCTGAGACTTCCGAATCCTTCCTTAATGGTTTGAAAGTGTTATTTCCTGTTTCATTGGGTGATCTTTACTTTGAAAGTAGTTGTTTTACTCCAGAAGCAAAGGGAGGGAATTCATTCCACTCTGGTTTAAAACGCTTCCCAGACTTGAGACCAGAAGTGGGGAAATGCTGAATAATTTCCGACTCACTTACTGCTTCGTAACAGAAATGGCGGAAAAAGCTTCGGAAGGGCAAAGGGACTTTTGGTTTCCTTAAAAACTTCAAAATCGCTTCAAAAAGCAAATCTTTCCAATTTTTTTCTGAATTACAAAGATTCTGACTGAACCTAACCATGCCTATCCAATAGCATTGGAACATTTATGCCAGAGGTCTTCAAATTAAGGCCTGGGGCCTGGATATGACCCTTCAAGGTCATTGACCTGTCGTACTTGGTTTGTTTCTTGGAGGGCCACATCTTGGAGTGTCACATCCAGGCCCTGGGCCTTAATGGCGTACTTGCTTTGTTTCTTTGTATGAAACAATCCTGCAACGCACAAATGGTTTTAATTCAGTCTCCAGTTCCTATCCAATCACACTGGCCATTGACCATGCTGCTGAGACTGTTGAGCCTTTGAAGTCCAATAGTCTTAGAACATCTATGCCAGGGTCTCCAAATTAAGGCCTGGGGCTCAGATGTGACCTCCGATGTCATTGGTCCTTCCACTTTAAACTTTAGCCTTATGGTTACCCTAGTCTGAAAGGACTTGAAGGCACACCACAACAACAATCTTAAATACTAATAATAATATTAATAATAATAATAACCATCTTTATTTATACCCCGCCACCTTCTCTCCAGTGGGGACTCGGAGCGGCTTACATGGGGCCAAGCCCGGACAACATATTACAGCAATAAAATCAGAGCATAAACGACAAATAGCAACAACATCCAAAATTACATAAGAGAAAAAAAGTCATAAAATAACATTCTAATAAGCACAATCACAATAACGATAACAATGGGCGGGCCATCTATACAGGATAAAACAATTAAAAGACTGTAATGAGATAAAATAGGAGCATGACATTAATGGGGAACTCATAAAACACATAGAGTTGTGAGGCTAAACTTCCAATTTGGGGGGCGCAAGCTCCAGTAGCAAACCAGTACTTTGTCATGATGTGCACCTACTCACCAAAGGTGCAGTGGAAGAGCCAGTTTTTAAGGTTCTTTTTGAACATTTCTAGTGAAGGGGCTTTCCTTATCTCTCCAGGTAAAGAGTTCTAAAGTTGGGGAGCCACAGAGGAGAGGGCTCTCTCCCTTATACCCACAGGACGGGCTTGTGAGATTGGTAGTGGTGAAGACCTCCCCCAAAGATCGAAGGGCCCGGGTTGGTATGGAGAGAGATGCAGTCATGAAGGTAGGTGGGTCCCAAACCATTTAGGGCTTTGTAGGTGATGACCTGTACCTTGAATTGGGACCGGAAAATAAATGGCAGCCAGTGGAGCTCCTTAAGCATGGGAGTCGTACGCTCCCTATAACTAGACCCAGTTATTAATCTGGCTGCCGAGCATTGGACAATTGTAGTTTCCAGGCCGTCTTCAAGGGTAGCCCCACGTAGAGTGCATTACAGTAGTCCAGTCTAGAAGTAACTAAGGAATGGACCACCATGGTCAAGTCAGACTTCATGAGGTATGGTCGCAGCTGGCACACGAGTTTTAACTGTGTGAAGGCCCTCCCGGCCACCACCGACACCTGCGCATCAAGTGTCAGCGCTGAGTCCAGGAGGACCCCCAGGCTGCGGACCTGTGACTTAACTTAACTCTCTCATCTGCCAAAAACAGGGTCACACTTCCCATTGAAATACTTATGTTGGCGAAAATTGTTCTTTCTTTTAAATATTGTATTGTTCTTTCATTTTTTTGGAACTACAAATAAAATATGTGCAGTGTGCTCAGGAATTTGTTCATTTCTTTTCCAAGCTATAGCCTGCCCCCAGGCATGTAGCCGGGGGGGGGGGGGGGGGGGGGGTGAGGGGCTTCAGCCCCCCCCCCCAAATTCTCATGGTGGTTCGCGAAAAGGCCTTACTGGTGCATTATTTAAATTGTTATGTTTATTCATATCATGATCTGATCACCATACTCAATATATCCCATATGCATGGGGGTATTGGGGTAATGATACAAAAGGTTTGCTAAGGTAGACCCTCTTTCACTCAGACTCAGCCCCCCCCCCCGAAACTCAGCCACCCCGAAAGCCCCCTGAAAAAAATTTAGCCCCCCCTGAAACGAAATCCTGGCTACAGGCCTGTCTGCCCCCCCTCTATAGTCTGAGGGATCGTGAACCGGCCCTTGGCTTCAAATGTTTTGAGGACCCTTGGTCTACACCCTCCCCATCTGGGTGTCTTTGCACATGGCTTCAAAAGTTTTGAGGACCCTTGGTCTACACCCTCCCCATCCCTAAGTGAAATAGACTAATGATCTGATATAGGATGAGACAGATTATTGTGATCTTATATTCCCACAAAGAGGTTGTTTGATTTCACCTTTTGGTTCACACCTTCAAGAAAAAACATTGTGGCAACGATGCGGTGCTCCTGTCCCCACTTTGCCATCACACAACCTGCCGGTCCAGATTTGCAGCATAGTTTGCTGCTCCTAAAGCAACACAATTCCCCTCCTTCCTGCCCCCTGAGCAGAAACTGGAGCAAAGTTGAGCAGAGATGCATGTTTGTCATTGAAAGGAGCCGAGAAGAAGGAAGAGGCGAACGATAAGATCTCAGCCTGCAGTGCTTTGTTTATGAGAACATCCTCTGTGTGATCTATGCCTGCACTGCGTGAAAGGATTGTGTCACCTCCCCCCCACCCCAACATATTTTAAATGCTGTGACTGTCAGGCAAAAATGACAATGATGAACAAGTTTATACAAAATGCAGTGACCGGCCGGGTGTCTTTGCACATGACGCTTCTTCATTGGCAAGGTTTGCCATGCAAATAGGAAACCAGCCCTGTTCAAAATGCTCATTTGCATTACAAATGCCCAGGCGAGCTCTTCTACTTTTGTCTTCTGTATGTAATGAGGAGGAGACCTTAACAGTTCAAGAGAGGCTCAAAGGTGGTCTGAGGAAAGAAGAACTCTTTGCTGAAGTTTCACTTGTGACATGTAGTCCCCTAGGCGCTTACTTCTTGGGAGGAGAGCAATGTCCAGTCTCGATAAAATAGTAAAGAGCAGAGACATCACACTGGCAACAAAGATCCGCCTAGTCAAAGCCATGGTATTCTCTGTAGTAACCTACGGATGTGAGAGCTGGACCTTAGGGAAGGCTGAGCGAAGGAAGATCGATGCTTTTGAGCTGTGGTGTTGGAGGAAAGTTCTGAGAGTGCCTTGGACTGCGAGAAGATCCAACCAGTCCATCCTCCATGAAATAAAGCCCGACTGCTCACTGGAGGGAAGGATACTAGAGACAAAGTTGAAGTACTTTGGCCACATCATGAGGAGACAGCAAAGCCTAGAGAAGACAATGATGCTGGGGAAAGTGGAAGGCAAAAGGAAGAGGGGCCGACCAAGGGCAAGATGGATGGATGGCATCCTTGAAGTGACTGGACTGCCTTGAAGGAGCTGGGGGTGGTGATGGCCGACAGGGAGCTCTGGCGTGGACTGGTCCATGAGGTCACGAAGAGTCATAGACGACTGAACAAATGAACAACAACAGGCGCTCTACAGAAAACCCCGGTATCCCAATGCCAGCCTTTTTCTTTATGATAAGAATAGGCAAGAGAGGTGTGCATTTTTTTAGTCTTTGTAAGTTGTATCAAATTTGTTAAATCCGTATTTACTAGGTGATAGCCGATATCAAGAGCAGTACGTGTGAAAAAGATCTTGGGGTCCTCATGGACAACAAGTTAAGCATGAGCCAATAATCTGTCATCAAAAGTGCTAAGGTGGACGATAAGAGGGCCAACGTAAAGTGCTAAACTTAGAGTAAAAAGGTAAAGGTAAAAGGTAGTCCCCTGACATTAAGTCCAGTCATGTCTGACTCTGGAGTGTAGTGCTCATCTCCATTTCTAAGCCGAAGAGCCAGCGTTGTCCGTAGACACCTCCAAGGTCATGTGGCCGGCATGACTGCATGGAGCGCCGTTACCTTCCCGCCGGAGCGGTACCTATTGATCTACTCACATTTGCATGTTTTTGAACTGCTAGTTTGGCAGAAGCTAGGGCTGACAGCGGAAGCTCACACTGCTCCCCGGAATCGAACCTGCGACCTTTCGATCAACAAGCTCAGCAGCTCAGTGCTTTAACCCACTGCGCCAGGGGCAGGAAAATAGTGGACTGCTTAATCAAAAGCACACTGGAACATCCAAGTTTTTAGTTATCTCCGGAAAGAGGACAAAGTAGGAGCCTCTCTGATCTTCCTAGAGAGGGAGTTCCAGAGTCGGGGGGCCACCACTGAGAAGGCCCTCTCCCTCGTTCCCACCAACTGGCGGAGGGAGAGAGAGCAGTGCCTCCCCAGATGATCTCAAGATGCACTGGTTCATAGGGGAAGAGGCGATCACAAAGATAAGCAGGTCCCGAACTGTTTAGGCCTTTATAGGGAATAAATGCACTTTGAATTGGGACCAAAGACTTATTGGAAGCCAGTGGAACTGTTTAAACAGGGGGGTAGACCGCTCCCTATAACCAGCTCCCGTGACTAGTCTGGCTGCAGATCTTTGGACCAACTGTAGTTTCCAGGCCGTCTTCAAGGGCAACCCAATGTAGAGCGCGTTGCAGTAATCCAACCTAGAGGTGGCTAGGGTGTGGACCACCATGCCCAGATCGGGTGGTAGGACTAGTTCTGCTGGTTTTGTTTCACTCTTCCCCAAACCAAATGGAACATTCCTTAAGTAAAGCACAGCCCTCCAAAGGGAGACTCACACTTGCTCTTCACACTTGGCTTTAATTTAGAGACCATGGGTGAACTGCACTGCCTCTTTAAGGAAGAGTTTTACTTTATGGTTCATAAAAGTACCAGACAAAGAAGCCCATTACTTATGCATTCTTTCCCCCTCCTTTCCCCACCTCCTCCCATTGCCACATCTCTCCCTCCTGTACACAAGGAGGTGAAAATAATAGAATAAACATCATATACTTCATTATGATATCGGTTTACACTTCCAGCGTACACAGAAAGAGGCCATTTCATCAAGCTAATTGCCTGAAAGTAAAAGAGAGAGAACTTTTGGCTATTAGTCTATTATGGGGCTTTTTTCTTAATCACAAATAGGGGGCCATGGATCCCCAGGGAGGATGTGTATTCTAATTTACAATTGAACTACAGATCCAAGCAATCAATCTTGAGCAGCACTTTTACAGTGTAATTGCTGCAACCTCACAAATAAAGAGAGAGAGAGGAAGAGAGAGGGAGAGCAGAGTTCTAGCTTCAAGTGGAGATATTTGCCAGCCATTGGTTTAAGTTAGGGAGGGACAGAGAAAGGGAGGGAGGGACGGACACACACAGAACCATGAATATGCAATGAGGGCTCATTAGTGCCCCTGTGTTGCCATGACAAATGGCATTATCCCCAGACCGGTGCGGCCTAAACATGAATTTTATAATGACCCATTTATCATGACTTGTCATGGGCTTCTTTACTGTATATTCCACATGCGTCGTCACCTTTCTCCAGACCCCTTTTGCTGATTTGGACTCCTCATTCTCTTTGCAGTGGGAAAACTAGGACGGAAGCACACACAAAGTCATTGTGACATCTCCATGATGGAAGGACCAGGTGAAGAGGTGGGTACAGGTTTCCCACCCAGACCTTTCATAGCAGACAGTCTCGTTACGTAGTTATGGGTTGTAGAGTCCACACAAAGTCATTGTGACATCTCCATGATGGAAGGACCAGGTGAGGAAGTGGGTACAGACCTAGACCTTTCATAGCAGACAGTCTCATTGCATAGCTATGGGTTGTAGAGTCCACACAAAGCACAAAGTCATTGTGACATCTCCATGATGGAAGGACCAGGTGAAGAGGTGGGTACAGGTTTTCCACTCAGACCTTTCATAGCAGACAGTCTCATTACATAGTTATGGGTTGTAGAGTCCACACAAAGCACACACAAAGTCATTGTGACATCTCCATGATGGAAGGACCAGGTGAAGAGGTGGGTACAGGTTTCCCACCCAGACCTTTCATAGCAGACAGTCTCATTACGTAGTTATGGGTTGTAGAGTCCACACAAAGCACACACAAAGTCACTGTGACATCTCCATGATGGAAGGACCAGGTGAACAGGTGGGTATAGATTTCCCATCCAGACCTTTCAAAGCAGACAGTCTCATTACGTAGTTATGGGTTGTAGAGTCCACAGATGAGATGAAAGAAGAAGGAAGCTGCTGAGATAGCTCAGGAAGGTTACTTGTTTTGGACATCAAGTCTGTCACACAGCATGACCCCCAACGTTTGTCTTTGAAATGGTTCACAAAGATAAAGCACAGCCCATTGACCATGTACAAGTCCTCCATAGTCATGAATTTTGGATCCATGGATTTTACCATGGATGGCTTGAAAATATTCCAAAAGGCAAACATTGATGTTGCCATTTTATATAAGGGATACCACTTTACTATATTGTTGTATAAGTGGGACTTTAGCTTTCATAGTTTTTGGTATTTTCAAGCTGAAGGTGATTGGACCTGTGGATGCTGACTCTATGGAAGTGGTGGACCAACTGTACTTCAGAATATATTATTGTGAACTGGCAAGGAAAATCTGTTTATCACACACATGGGTTAAAAGTGAGGAACATTTTCTTTGAAGGAAGGATGGCAGCTGAGACGCAGTCATCAAGTACTGTATAAAGCCAGCAAAGCTACATCAGAGTCTTGGGATTTGTTTCCTAGGCACAGTGTTTCCTTGGGCCAAACTGAGGAACCTGTTGAGATTTTTGATTTTGTATCTGGATTTGAACTGCACACATAGACTGAGATCCTCATCATACTGATATAGACCAGATTGATCTTTTGTATAATGATGCTTTGTATGTTGATGCCATAGTTTCTTTTACTGACCTAAATATAGCTAAGTTCATTATAAGAGCTAAGGACCTATTTGCAAAAAAGGGCATCACAATATCAAGATTCTTCCAGAAGATCCTCAATCAAGGATCCTCAGAGGGCACAATGGATTCTGAAGAACAACACCCAGCGACGATGGAGAGAAGTGAACAGCTGCAGAGCCCCCTTGAGGCCCAAGCTGCCAGCTCCACAATGGAGGGAAAAAATACCCCCGGCCAGGAAAACCAGTTTTGCCCAGAGGAACAGCTACTGGTAGAGACATATGCGAACTTGCCAAGAAAGGAGCAATGGGCTATTCTAGATAGACTGAAGGCGTTAAGTGGACACCTAAGAGAAATATTTTCCAAAAGGCAGTATTTAAACGATGACGATCGGGACAGAGCAAGGGACGGGCAAAGGGAAGTGCAGGATAACATTGACTGGCTGGAGATGAGATTTTTGAACACGGAGGAAAGAGCAGACCCACCCCCTAAGCACTTCCCCCTGTCCCCCGAGGTGATAGTGGTGAAACCCCAAACTATTAACCCATGTGTGGCCCACGATAATGATATTATTATAGGGCTCTGGGACGCACAAACGGGTACTGGAAAAGAGAACAGGGGGTCAATTATTAAAATAGCATGAAGGCCAGTCAGGAGGGCTGAAAAGGCAGGGCCTCAGACGCAAACCACAATACCTAGCGGAAATTGTGGTTTGAAACAGACATCTATCACCCAATTTTTTACATCTATAGTATCTAGGAAAAAAGAGAAAGTAAAGGCCCTTAAAGAGGTGAACCCTATATACCCACACAAAAATAGAGTCACCCAGTCATATTTAAATAGTTCAGGCCCGAACAACTATATAAAAATGAAAACAGCAAAGGAGCTAAAGATCCTGTCTTGGAATATCGCTGGATGGATGGGAAAACTAGTGGACAAAGAGTTCATAGAATATTTACAGGAGTTTTCTATTATTATGTTACAGGAAACCTGGGTGGAGGATACCCCAAATCTCACTTTGCAGGGTTTTAGGAGTTTTGCAGTGGCTGCCTCGAGGCGACATAAGTGGGGGCGCTGCTGTGGGGGCTTAGCAGTCTTTGTTTCAGTCGAGATAGAAGTTGAATGTCAAATTATGATCAATCATACAAATAATAATGTTTTAGCAGTAGAGATAAAATTCAGGGATAACCAGGTTCTGTTGTGTATTAATGTATACGTGCCCCCAGTAAACTCAACATTTCTGGCCAAAGAGGTATGGAAGCTACTAGACTCAGCCCTAGGAGACATTACCGCGGGCTTGGAAAACACGAACATAGTCTAGGAGGTGATTTTAACGCGAGGATGGGTAAATCAAATGAGGATCTAGCGCAGCATTTTGGGCTTTATCTAGAGAACCAGTTCTCGCTTGGCAGAAACTCAAGAGATGTGAAAATTAATAAGAATGGGCTGGAATTACTCTTACTAGCCTATAAGCATTTTTTATTAATTATGAATGGTAGCCATTTAGAGGAGTCATCTGGACTATACACTTACCACTCAGCAAGACGGGGAAGTGTCCTAGATTATTTTATAATCTCAACTGGGTTGTTACCAGCAGTCAAAACTTTTAAAGTGGACATGCGCCCAGAAAGTGACCATCACCCAATTAAATTAGTTATAAAAACAGAAGTAGAGCAGGACAGAGTGTCAAATAATTATCCGCTGGACCTGGTCTCCACGGGTCCCAGACGACTCAAATGGTCAGGGCCCATGTGCGATAAGATGATAGACCTACTTACCGGACCGACTCTCGAAACTTGCAGAGACAAAATACTCAAAAACACTATCGACCCAATAGAAGGTTATCAACAAATTATTACCTCCCTCAAACCCCATCTGATTCACTCAGATCCAGCTAAAGACATCAAGCACAGTAAAGGAAGTTGGTTCGATGCTGAATGCAGGAGCCAAAAAAAGACCCTTGCCCGGGCCATTAGAGCAGCCAATAAAAATGGGACCGAACAATCCTATAAAAGTCTGAGTGAAATCCGTTCACAGTATAAATCCCTACTAAAAAAGAAGAAATTCGAATTCAACAGGCAAAATTGGAGCAAACTGGATCTGGCAATTAGGCAAAAGGATGAGGGCAAATTCTGGAACATGGTGCATTCTGGGCTAAGGTCCTTGCAACCCCATTTAGATTCCCAAATTTCAGCTCCTACTTGGGAAGCCTATTTTGGAGAGGTATTTGACGACCCGGAGGCAGCGGGAGAGGTGTCCGAACCTATTGACGCTCCTGCTTGGCCACCAGTTTCGTTAGAGGAAATGGAAGGCCTACTTCAAAAATTAAAAGCTGGAAAAGCTCCAGGAGAGGACATGCTCCCTCCTGAACTGTTCAAATGTAACATCTCCTGGTGGGCCCCCATCCTGGCCAAACTGTTTACACATATCAACCAGACAGGAATCATACCGAATGGGTGGAAAACCAGTATAATTGTTCCTCTATATAAAAAAGGCAATAGGACGGACCCCCACAATTATAGACCAATTAGCCTGTTGGATGTAGTATCAAAAATCTATGGTAGGTTTCTGTTAAACAAATTACATAGTTGGGCGGAGGAAAATAATATTATTGCGGAAGAACAGGCTGGATTCCGTCACAATAGACCAATGCTTTGTGCTGTCGCACTTAATCCAAAATAGTCTGAGGAAACCAAAGGGTTGCCTATACACAGCATTTGTGGATTTCACCTCAGCTTTTGATTTAATTGACAGACAGCGTCTGTGGGCAAAGTTGGCAAAAACGAATGTGGACAGACGACTGCTGTTATTATTGCACCAGCTATACTCGGGAACAGATCTAAGAGTGAGGTTAGGGCTATCAGGCAAGCTATCGAACAACATTGAAACTAAAAGAGGAGTTAGGCAAGGCTGCTTGCTAGCACCTTTTTTGTTTAACTTCTACGTGAATAACCTAGTGGCCGAGTTGAGCTCTCCTGAACATTTTCCCCCAGCAGTAGGTAACAGGAGAATCCAAATCCTATTATATGCGGATGATATGGTGCTACTCTCATCTACGCAAATAGGTCTCAGGAGACTTTTGAGGTCACTAAGTAGAGTTTGTAAACAAGAGAAGCTGACAATCAATCACTCAAAAACCAAAGTGATGGTATTTTCCAAAAGGAAGCAAAGACACACCTGGAAATTGGATGGTCACTCAATAGAGCAGTGTGATAGTTTTAAATATCTGGGCTTACACTTCGCACACAACAGTAACTGGAAGAATCATATAGAGGCAGCCAAATTATCTGCCTGGAGGTCAGCGAAAGCAATCCTAGACTTTGGGAAATCAAAGGGAGGTTCACTGGTTTGTCCCACAGTAAAGATTTTTGTCGCTAAAATTTTACCCCAACTGTTATATGGAGCGGAAATTTGGGGGCAAGGCAATGCAGAACAGTTGGAATGCATTCAGAACAAGTTTGCAAGAGCTCTTCTAGCCCTTCCCTCTGGGACCCCAGCCGCCTTGTTAAGACTGGAATTAGATCTTCCCTCACTCAAGGCCAGAATGCACAAGCTTAACATCTCGTATGGGAAGAGATTGCTAGGAATGGAGGAGGAGAGCATAGCAAAGCAATGCTTGAGGGAACAGTTTAAACGGGGAGGATGGGTGCAATCCTGGCTAGCCTTGCTCCATCAATATTTTGATGGGTCAATAACAACTCTAATGCAGCTGGACAAGAAGGCGATTAGTGATAAAATCTTTGAGAAGGATGCAGCTGACAATTTGGAGTTAAGTAAAAAGCAAGGTTTTTCTATATGGTATCCCAGACTAAAGAGTGACCAATACTGCCAACAATATCTTCAAGACCTAACCTCAGCAGTGTTGAGGAAAGCCTTTACAGCCCTGCGCTTCCAAACAATGCCCTCAAACTGGCTAGAAGGGAGATACAGAGGGATCCCCCATGCCCAAAGGCTTTGCATTTGTGGCGCCGGGGAAAAAGAAGATCTAACACACTATCTATTACACTGCCCTTTGTATAATGACCCCAGAAAAAAGCTCCTGGGAACACTCCTTGAAGAAAGGGCAGCATGGCAAGAACCTGCCGTGATTGGTGCATTACTAGCAGATTATGACAAAAATATAACACTGAAAGTAGCCACATTTGCAATCGCAGCCCAAAAGATCAGAGACAGAGTAGCAAAATCCTCGCTGGAGACCAGATAGGGAAAGGGAGATGGCTAGGGAGGACATAGACTAGATGCTGTTTTTGCTAGGTTTCTGCCAGCAAAATTTTAAAGTACTAGTTTTTTTAAATCTTGAACGGGTTTTGGTTTACATTGGAATGTATTTAATGTGTTTATAAAGGTTGTATGTTATTGATGTCATGGCCTATGGCTAGTGCAATAAACTTCATTCATCATCATCATGGAGATCAAGCATACAGCCATTGTACTAGGGCGAGGCTACATTACTAACCTTTGTTAGTAAACTATGATGTTGTGCAATCCAATATCCAACCATATGTGCCTGGGCAGCCACTGTAAAGTGTGTGACAATGCATTAGCTCAGTACACAACCATGCTTTCATACCATGCGGTAGAGTTGGGACCAAATCACTATTAACAAAAAGATTTGTAGTTTTCTGAGGGCCATTTTCATTTAATTTCCAAGAACAAAAAACAGAAGAGAGAGATACGAAAAGACCTACAAAGCAGATTCAGAGAGGTGATCTTTTCAGAAAGAGTTACGTCCACAAAATACCTGAGGCAGGGGGAATCTGCGGTGTCTTTTTCTCTCCCGGCTGATGAAGAGTCCTCCACTTTTTCTTGGAAAGTTACCTCCTCCAGGGAAAGCCCTGGAAATTTGCTTTTCCAGTGACATTATCATAGGGTGGCCATTGAAAGTTCCTCCCAGAACTTTTTTGGCTGTGTTTCTCAGCCAATCAAAAGCTTGGT